TTTGTTGTATTTTATTTTGTGCGTACAAACTGTGCATTTTTATCATCACTGCACATAATTAATTGCATTTCGTCCCCTTTAAACTTGCATTTTACTTGATACCGGTGCCCTGTTGTAAGATCTAGATTTGCAGTCCCTCACCATGTTCCCTCTTCCCACTGGCTCTACCAGTTGCACTATTTCAAAGCGGAACTACCAGCCCCATTTTCTGGCAGCGGCACCGAAGATTTTACGCTTTGGTGTCGCCGTCTGGAAGTGGGCGTAAATGCCAACCCGCACGAAAATAACCCCCAACTTGCCACCCTCCTTCCCGCAAAGTTATGTGGCTATGCATTTATTTTGTGGGACAGCCTGATGATATCAAAGCGGATTACGATAAGGTCAAATCTACTCTAGCCTCTGTCTTTGTCCAACATCAATCGATCAAACGCTTCCGAACATGTGCAAGCGTCCGTCCCCGCTTCCCCAATGAGCCTCTTGAAGTATTCGCAGCTGACATTTCTAGTTTATACCAAGAAGCATTCCCCCAGTACGGCCAAGTTGCTCTAAATGGTGAGCGTTTCCGTAGATTTGTTGCCGGGCTGGCCCCATACTTGCAATTGAAAATTCACGAACAAAATGTAACCTCCATTGAGAACGCTGTCAAATATGCAGTACAACTTGAGAGGGCTCACGAGGCCAGCGAGTTATCCATCTCCCCACCCCAACCTGCCACGCCTTTGCCCATCCAGCCTCTGGTTACCCCACCAGCCGGAACCACTTCTACCCTGCCCACTCCATCTCCGCCAGCACCTACCACTTCTGCCACACCCACTACATTCTCAGTTAGTTCGATTATCGATTCCACCTTGGCCCAACTCTTGCATAAAATGGATAGCCGTCTTGATGATATCCAGTATTCCTTGCGCCGCAGCCGTGCCCAAAGCCCACGTCGATCCTTCTCCTAACGCCAATATTCTCCCTCCCCACCTCGTGACCATCTACGCCGGTCAAACAGTCCCTTTCCCCGATCTCCTCACGATTCTTATTATAACCACTATGACTCCTTTGATTCCCTAGATTCCCGTTCTCGTTGCACCCAGTATGATTCTCGAGACTACCGTAACCGCCATCCCCGCTCTGCTAGTCGCGATCGGCATGACCGTCATGATAGCCGTAATCGCTATAACCGTCACGATAGCCGCGATCGCTACACCCGTCCCGATAACCGTGAACGCTATGAACGGCCCTCCCAATCATCCAGCTCCTCTCGTGGACGTTCCCCCAACCGTCGACCCTCCCCTCGTGACACTGGTAGCCGCTGCTCATCCAGCCCTAGCACACGCCGTGTTACTTTTACACATGACTTCCCATCCTTACAGATTCAGGAAAACTAGAAGTAGCTAGCGAAACGGGCCCTTCCCTAACTACTGCCTCCCCAGTGGCCCCACCCCATGACCCATCCTTATCTTGCGATGTATTTCTGTCTCAGTTACACCCCTCAATCTCCCAAACCCCACCTAAGACTTTTGCACCTGTTCTCGTTGACAACACCCCTGTTCACGCTCTCCTCGATACCGGTTCTGATATTTCCATCATAAGCGATGAAGTTTGAATGCAAATCCCAAGTCTCAGCAAAAAACCGATAACACACCAATTTCTCCACACCCAATCTGTCACTGGTCAGCGGAAGGACACCCTAGGCACAATTCAAATTGCTGTCAAGGTCGTATCTTTTTCTACAACACATACTTTCCAAGTTGTCCGAGGCATCAACCGACAATTTCTCCTCGGATGGGACTTTTTCTGTGCCCACAATGTGCATGGCTAAAAGATCAATTTTCGTTTCAATTTCATAGGGGTCAGCCACGAAAAGTTTTTCTTATTCGCCTTTGAATGAAGATACCCCCAAAATAGCAGTAAAACTAAGCGCTCATTTCTGAATGTAGCCGCCCGCCTCACTCCAAAATTGGGGCTTTTTGTGAAAGAAGTACCCCGAGCTGGAAACTATTAGTCCTAAATTCGGGATTTATAGAAATATATCTATGATGCTTCCTGATTATGGCCTGTCTTATTGTAAAAAAAATCCCGTGGGATCACAAAATATTAATGAGCTCGCGTGCAGAAATACAACCATTTGGGGGAATGCACCCCGAACTGAAGCACCATGCTAGTGTGGCACCTGGCCTTTGCCGGTTGCCGCTCACTCACTGGGCTTAATAGACCTTTCTTTTGTTTACAGACATCGACTGTTATTACACATGGGTGGCTATTGTTTGCACTGGAAGTTCACGCATGGTCGGCAACAACTTTTACTGCGAAGAAGAAAGTTTACATTTGACTTCATGGCGGGAATTTGATCAGGATCCTCAAAACACACCGAGTGCCCCCACGTATTCTCCTTGCCATCCTGCCTATGCAAGCACACAGCGAGCCAAAGCGGTTCATAACGGCAAAACTGACGCTTTCAATATCACTGCAGGAGTGTTGCAAGAGATTACTGTCACACCTTCCCTATTGCCCAGGGCGTCACTTTGCTGTTACAGAGACCAATCTAGACTTGGAGAGCGACATTGTACTGCTCTCAGATGAAGACTGGGCCTGGCACAGGAACTACTTCTTCACGTCGAATCAAAGTATAAATGAGTTGGTTTTGCTTTAACGCTAAGAAGAACGAGGTGATTTACATCAACATACCAGAAAACAAACCATTTAAGAACAAAACTGAGGGGAGGGGGTACTGAAGGATGTCAGTGACTTCACCTAGTGCCTCAGGTTCTGGGTCAATTCTACAAACAGGCCTAGGGCAACATCAAAATAAGAAAAACAAATTCTTGGATTTCCAAAGAACCACATGACGAGGATCTGGAATTGTGGGATGTCTCGGATGGTCAGGGTCTCCTTTATTGCCTTGGAACGTCTCTTTCAAGTGCCTATAGTTAAATAGGTCTATGTCCACACTGAAGTTTTAGATGAATCAAATATGTAACAAATAATAGATAAATGAATAGATGACCACTGTATTTTATGTTGATGTCCTGGTTTAGGTCTTCGACGATAGTAGTTCATGTGACAATCATGAAGCTGGTTACATTCATTCATTCTGTCAGATTCCCCTTACTTTTCGTATTATTTTTCGTACGGTTTTCTTTTAGACCAAGATTCTCTCTGTGAGCAACTTGAAAACTGGCTCATACAACGTGTGCCCCACCAATGTCTAGGGGTAGGGCTTAATGGGAGCAAAGGAGCCACTTACTGATGGCCAGCTGGAGATTAATTAAAATCCACTCACGGTTGACATAGGACTGTGGTGTGCCGTGTGAAACCATATATTTCCATTTTACAAGTAGCATTGCGTCCCAATAAATAAGGTTTGGGATCTCATGTACGTAGCTACGTATACCTTCACTATTATTTACATCATGTCTGCCGATACCACCAAAACTCCGGCGAACTGCACAGGGTCTTTTTGTCAGCTACGACAACGCCACTAGTAAGATGGCTTTATGTTCTGCTAGGTGGTATCATCTTCAAACCACTGCAGAAACTGAGTTGGAAATGTACACAATGCTGTTAGTTGCTGACTTCTGTCGTCTGTCGTTTATCAGCCAAGGGCGGGGATGAGAGATATACCCTCTCCCTATTTTTTTGGACTCCATATTCAGTGCCAACAAAAACAACAGTACTTATTAGCACCCCATGCAATTGGTAAAGAGCCAGAAGGATGATAAGATGACTGTGCTACTCTTAACTTCAGAGGCTTTTGAAAATTTGGATGACTTTTGAACAGTGCGAATTACAGTCGGCCATTTCGGTCTGTCGAGTGGAGGAGCCAAATACGTTCATACATCCTGCATTAGACCCAAATTATTAAGTTTAAATAGAACAACAGATAAATAAAAATACGTTTTTAGGTATTCGTTTTGGTTAATCTTAGTATATGTGGATTTATGACAATAATATCAGGGAATTTAAAAGCATCCGAAAATGCATGGATCCTATGGAACCCATATTTATTTTGGGATGGCTGACGGACACCAATGACATTGTTTCTGGATACATGTTTTAGGTAGATATTCATGAGTCCTGGCATATACTCCCTCCAAGTTATTATGGCCCTACTAAATTCTAAGCGCAACAGTCAAGTACGAGGCAGTGGTGTATCCTCCCCCAGGTCTTCCCACGGTGCCCCTAATTTATCTTGAATTTGACAAAAATATCCAAAGCTTGTCTTCGGTTCCCTTTGAACTTGAATGGAGGCACAAAACATTAAATATTGCTAATTGAAATGTATCTTGTCTTTTACACATAATATGTGTTGACTTTCTGAGCCTGTGACTCAATTCCATCACCCCCTCACTGACACATAATGCTACTGATGAACAGTGCCCCCCAGTGTCACGTTATTTCCAGCCCAAAACCCTCACGCCCCCCCCCCCGCATAGATCTGTGCCACTGCTCGCACTCACAGTGCTGAGTAAACATGGGAATGACCTTGTCTGAGTACAAATTTACCCTTTTCTGGCGCACTCTGAACCTTTCAGGTCATTGTAATCGGTACAAAAAGTCAGTAACCTGGACGACTGAGGATCAAGCATAGCACCTATAATATATTATGTTGCCAGTATGCAAGTCCTGCATGGGCTTCCTTAGCTAGGGTTGTTGTTACGCCCCAACTATAGTATAAGTCCCAACTATACAGCCCCAACTGTAGTGCTGCAGTTGGGCTGGCCCAACTATTGTTGACCAATTAATGTGTGTGGCAAATGTCTCAACGTTATCAAAGTCAGTGTGTCTCACACTTGACACAATTCATCTAAAATGTGGCACTTCATCTGTTCATCTAGTCCTATGACCAATGACATGACATTTGTAAACAATATGGCTTTGGCACAAGCTGGGCACATCATGCACACAGGACCTCTCTGCTGTAGTTGGGCCGGCCCAACTGTAGCACTCTAGTTGGGACGGGCCCAACTATAGTTGGGACTTATACTATAGTTGGGGCGTAACAACATAATGCGGCAAACAATCATGGCGGCTAGTTCAACTGCTGATTCAAAGTATTGGCTACCTCTCTCACTCAAAATTGTAGACTCCCAGGCCCTCACTGTAAGTTAGCATGGCTCTTTTTATATAGATATTTGCCTATGTTTCAGACGGTTTAACTTTTGTGCGCAATCAAATATGTCAAACCGTATTCTTGACTATTCTTTTTTCACTAATAATTTAATATAAGTTTGGTCATGTTGCATGTTGGTTGGCATGGTATGGTTGGTATGTTTCCTGAGGCTGATACTAAACCTAGAGGCTTTGCCGACTATTTGATTCAGTTGACTCAATGACCTGGATGGAATTGGGAGTAGCCTACCTCTGTATTACCCCCACACCCACAGTTCTGGCGGTAGGATTGTCAAGATTGTTTAGGCCTAACGTTTGGGGGATTGTAAATTTAGGGACCCTGTTCCTATAATCATGATAATAAAGAGAGAGCTAGATTTTAACTTTTGAATTTACCTTGGTAGATTGTGACATCATGCTCAAAAACTGTAGGGTTCATGTTGTCAAAACAGGGCAGGGTTTTGAGTTTTGAGGGAAATTATGAGGGGAAACTGTGAGTGTTTTAACACATGACATACACCTTATGGTGGATTCAAACTTGCATGGCTAGTTTATCAATAAAAAAGTCACATTTTCTCGCAATTTACAATTTGAAATTTCCAAAAAGTTGGGTCAGCATAATGAAGAGAGTGTCGTCTGTGATTTTGGGAGGGGAGCTGACCAGTTTTACAAGTTTAAAATGACAAAAAACTGGGGGGGGGGAGGTGCCTTCCAAATATATATCCCCAACTGGCATACATCACAACATGGAGGAGGTCCTTGTAGTTGGAGAAGTCCCTTTATTCAAGGACAAAATCAGTCCCCGGAAAGAGAGATGTGCAGTGATAATAATAATATTTATTGTTTCAGGTACATTACATCATAAAACAGATCTCAACAGGCTGTACATAAATAAAATATTATACTATAACCATAGCTTAAGAATTAAAAAAAAATTAGCAACAAATTGTGCAACAAAAAGCTGAAAAAAAATATAACTATTATGCTTGTTTTCTTCTGTTTTGTCATGCATTTGATAGATGTGGCTGAGACAGCAAGAAAGTAAATCATCAGCATGAGAAAAGCAGGAAGACCTACTCCATTGTCCGGGACAGGTAGCACCCCTAAGACAGGCAAGACACAGCCGGTCTCTAAGAGGAAACTACCCCAGCCAGTGGCGAGAAATCCCAAACCGATGAAGCCTGCCAAGGATGAAGATGACCGCAATGGTAACCAACTGCTTCTTTATACCTGACCATAAGCTGGTATCCGGCATCTTCATCTCTGATAAGTTAATAATTAACATGGTTACTGCATTGAGTCACAAATGCCATTTGATGAGATGTACATGTGATGCCTCTCTCAGTTTGGGGCAGTGTAATTTAACTTTTCATGGCTTCTTTTTGAAAATGAAAATTTTTCTTCCTCTGTGACCTAAAATTTGCATGACAGTGCAGTGACCTTCCCAACAAAGGCGTGTGTTAAGCTAGAGGCATTTTTTATGTATCAGAGATAGAATTCGGCTGATTTTAAAATTCTTGGCTCTTACTTTCATCAGGAGTTCACAATGTCTTATGTGCAATCTCTTCATTAGACTCGATAGACCTTTTTCACCCATGTTACTAAATGCAAACAATACCACCACGTGTGGACCGCCTTCGCCACGGTGATTGCATATATTCCTACGGACAGCTTCAACCACGTGCATGCATGCGCATGTGTGAAGGCTGCGTGCTTGACTGATTTATCTTGAATAGGTAGATTACCATCGCAACACTATGCACTCATTACCATCACAACACATCATAGGTCCAGCATGATCTTGACATCACAGGAAAAAGGGCTATAGGACATGTGAAGGATAGACTTGATGACAACTCGTTTTATAGCGTTTTATCCATCAGCACAGTCATAATAGTACAAGCGTGGCTCCTTTATGCCAATACTGCATTCACTTTGCAACGCTCTGACATGTCTGTTGGAGGGCATGCATAATGGTTGGTTGATGTTATGTACCATCCCCACCACTGCAACAAATATGTGGTACGTCCGTACTCACTGTGCAGCACGTGGCAGGCAAATAAAACCATCCGATTACCGGCTTGATTTCAAGTTTAACAATAGGGGGGCATTACACACCACTGGTACTTGACCTCACTGGCAGTACACTGCATCTCCTCCATCTTGCCCTGCCGAGCATGTACGTTCTTTATATACCTACCATTTTGCTTTCAGATTCGGGAGAGAAGTCACTCGTGCGGTACATCAACGATGTCATGATCAAGAAGATATCAGGCAAAGATGTGGTGAAGGATATTACGACCCTAAATCTGACCCTGACAACCAAGGATGATGGCAAGAAAATAAGAGTATGTAAACTCCCACCCTGTTCAAGTGCCCAAAGCCAGTATAACCTTACATGTTTTTTGGGGGGGCTACTTGTAAATCACTCTTGTACAGGGTGTATCAGAAAAAGTATACAGTCAGAAAATTAACTGTAAAATAAAAATGTGAACATTTTTCAAAAATCTCTTCTCCTACATGGGTTGATTAGAGTGTCATGCTGTTATCAAACTTGCGATCATGAACAGATTTTCATGCCTGAGTGACCAGGAGCTATTTTCCTAAATCGCTCAAAAATTGGCTTGCGAAAAAACCCAGGTCCTCTAGGGTTGTGCCACTGCATCATTTGGATAATCTAACCTTTTGCCCATCTTACTTGTCTTGTGAACCTCTATTTTCACAGTACATTGAGAATCTAGAGGGTCTGGTCAATCTTCAAGTCCTAAAGATTAGCCACAACCAGATCAGCAAGATTGAGAGACTCCACCACCTGACACAGCTTCGGGAACTAGACATCAGCTGCAATAGGATTGGCAAGGTGGAAGGTCTGGAGACCTTGATGCACCTGCAGAGCTTGAACCTGTCGCATAATCTGATTGAGACCATACCGGCCTGGCTAGGCAAGAAACTCTCTGCTCTGAGGGTGTTCCACATCGCGGGAAATCTTCTGTACTCTGTGAGTTTACTTCAAGTTCCCTGCAGTGATTCACTTTAATTCAAACTGCTGCCCTCAACCTTCTAAGAATTATTATAATTATTGTATATTCCTAAAGTGTGTTAATGCTCACATACATGTACTTGTGTATTTGTTTTGTTTCCAGTATTGTTTCTGTCAAGGTCAAATAAATAATTATTATAACTCATCTCCTTTCTGTGATCAGACTTTGTTTGATCCTGCTGGTGCCATGAGAAAATAGAACAGGTTTAATGGCTGCAGATTTAAAGATTTTTCCTCGCCATTGCATCTTCACATCTTGGTTATGATATCTACAATTTATTAGGAGTTGTACAGAATGCTTCTTCCGTAAACCTTTTGTTTCTTTCATGCTGCATCATAACTTTCCACAAATTACTTTGGTCTGAAATTCTCTGTCTTTATTCTGTTTTCCAAATTGTAGAAAAAACACAAACCAACCAACCAATGAGTAAAAGCTTGATGATTTTAAATCGACATTGTGAATCTAGCCTGTTCTCTTGTCACAAAGTCTCTTCTTAACCACATGCTGCCGGGTACTTTTAAAAATGCAGTGCACATATACGGGCGATTTCGAGAGTTTCAGTTTTCAAAAATCTTCAAAAATTCATCATTTTATGCAATGGACATTTACACTCACACGAATGACTCTTTGGTTGCTACTCTAAGAAGCCAGGTAACCTTCATTGACTCCTGAATATTTCAGCCAGGCCTGCCACCCTGTAAAGAGAGCCCAGAATTGTGAGGTGTTTCGTAATTTCCTTTGTCCCCAGTGAATGCGAGTGGCATCTTTTCAAACGCGGCTGGATTAGCATGCACCAGTTCTGTGTCACTCATCAATGGGGCCCTGGAGCACTTTTGTCCGCGGGGCTAATCCGCGGGCGCACTATGCCCCAAACAAAGGTATACTGTTTAAAAACAGTGCCGGACTACCTTCAAAAAATGCAAGCTGAAAAATGGTGGCAATTCCCAGCAGCAGGTCTTTTGTTCCGAGTACAGTCTTTTGTTACACGGACCAGCTCTTTTGTCCCATTTTGGGCACCCCAACTCTGCATATAAACCCATGGTGCTCAAAATGAGGTTCCCAAGCAGCAAGTGGTGAACTGGAAGTTCCTCCTCATTCTATCCACAGCTGTCTGATGTGTTCAGACTTCGTCCACTCAAGGATCTGGTGCATCTCTCACTTGCGGACAATCCGTTATGTGACCTGCCACACCACAGGCTGTTTGCAGTGTTCCACCTGCGGACCCTACAGGTACTAGACAAACAGGCAGTCACAGAGACTGAGCGACAAGAAGCTGACAAGAGATTTGAACAAGGTAAGGACAGAAGACAGAAAAAACAATGAATAAAGTGTAAGATGTGTTTGAAGAACGATTACTGCGATTTGGGTTACCAAGAATCATGCAGAATTCACTGCAGCAGGTTATCCCAGGCGAAGACAACTTTGATGAAGTTGATGTGGATGGTGCTTTATTGTTTAACATCACATTGATCGAGACTCCTCTGTATTTGACCGAAATTGAGCATACAGTTTTGGGATATTTTGCATTAAAAACCTTGGTTCTTTGACTTCATTTGGAGTTCATGACTAATGATTGTGTCAATGGTTTGTTGCTCAGAAATGGAATTTGGAAAATTTCCAGGTCAAAGAAGCTTAGAAGCTCATTTTTATTAAGTAAAAATTTTCCTATACATAATCCCGCGTCACATATTGTTTAGTTGCACATACATTTATCATTCAGTACTCTGCAATGTTGCTTGAGAACTTACTTAACGATAGTGCTTTGTGCCACTTAGAATGTGTTTGCCATCATCTTTGGAGGCCCAGAAAATAATAATAACCACATGTATGCACAGCAACATGAGCACATGCTATCCAGTCATTAAATGGAGATCAGTCACTTAATCCAAAAGGGATTTCAACTAATTTTTGCACATTGAAGATTAGTATAAAGGGGCAGCCAAAACATTGTAAGAAAAATATTCACTTGGACCCTTTGATATTTGGCTAAATATTTTGAATTGAGTGTGAATACTTGTTTACCAGAGGAACTTGAGAATCTTGAAATGCAGTTGGGACAAGAAGAGAAGAAACTTCGCTCCCTCCAAAAAGACCACAGCCAGACCGTGACTGAGCAGGAACAATCCAAGAGCCTTATTGCATCATTGAAGACCAGGAACGTTGAACATCAACGCAGTATCCATCAGCTACAAGAAGAACTGCATGCCAAGGATGACTTGGTAAGGCTCTCAAGACTGTCTAGCCCCTAGCATTCAGGACCCACAGCACCTTCAGTTGGATCCTTTATTTTAAGTGTTTTAATTTGGATAACTTGTTTGGTCATGTTGTGTGCATACAGTACATGTATATTACAGACTCTTTGTTTTTCTTTACAGCTATTTTTGACTGTGTTATGTCTCGTGCTGCTGGAATCCAGTCTAACATACTGTAACCCCAAGGTCCCTATGACACGTCACATGAGTCACATGACATATTACCTCACACCCTTATTCTAATCTCTTAATAGGTGTAATTGAAAAAGAATTTGCTCCAGACTATTCCATTTGTATAACTAGTTTTAGATCTAGTTTTTTTAGTTACTAGTTTT